GCATTAACAGGGCACCGATGTGGATAATCAGGCAGCTTCAAACCCATTAGCTGGGGACAGTGTGTGGTATCCTGATTGTACCAATCAAAAACCTGACACTTGTCTATATTGAAATTAGTTAGCCTATACTGCAATCTTATTCACGCCTTCTTGTCTATTGTCACATTCTTCCTCAGTATAAACTAAATACCCATACTCACCCCTCAAAACTACAGGTTTTGACATTGTACATATGATTCCCAACTCAAATGATTTCCGTTAGCTGTGATCAAAAGAAGTGTCAGCACTGATCCCTGTGAAACATCTATTTCAGTCTGCGAGAGCCCATACTCTCTGCTTTCTGTTATGTAGCCAGATTATTATCTATTCTGCTATTTCCTCCTGACTCTATAAGCTTTGGCCTTAAACACGAGTCTCCTGTTTAAACTATAAATGTTCCTTTACAACTCTGCTCCCACCTACATGAGTTACTGTGCCTCCTAACTTAGTGTGGTCAGCACACTTGAATATTAGGATCTCTATTCCTTCATTATAGTCATTTATAATTATAGTAAAAAGCTGAGGTGGCATTCCAGATTCTTGGGTACACAGTAGTCACAGCATGCCAATCTGAGTCCATATCCATTTTTCCTCCTCTCCCTCATCTATCTCCTAACAAATGTCTTACCCATGTCAATAGGTGCCTCCAATTTCATCCCTTCTCATTTTTGTCAATTTTCCTTTCTTTGGAACAGTGCTAATTGCCTTTTCAAGATCCATAAGGTACTTCCTTAAATATTAGTAATCTCTCCAAAACATTTAGCTAGGATCATCAGACAAGGCTTATCTTACCCTTAACAAATTCATCTTGGCTCTCTGTGAACATTTCATAATTGTTCAAACACATAACCTCTCTGCACTTAACAAGTGAACACAAAAATTCGGAGCATGATTAAGCCATGAAGCCCCTTGAGCCTGCTCTGCCATTCAATGTGGTCATGCTTGATCTCATTTCCAATTTCCTGCCTTTTCCCTTATTAGTATCCAATACACTGTCAATCTCTGTCCTGAAAATACTCAATGGCACAGCATCTACAGTCTTCGAGGACAGACAGAACTAAAGACACACGATCCTATAAGTGAAGAAATTTGTTCTCCCCTTTGTCCTGAATGATTGACTCTGAGACTCACTGTTCATTTTTGACTTACTGTTCAGGAGAATCATCTCTGAACATTGTAAGACTTCTACAAATTTTTATATGTTTCTGTAAGACCACCTCCCATTCTAAACTCCAGAGATTATAGGCCTACTCTAGCTAAACTCTCCTCATATTGCAACCCTCCCATCTCAGAATCAATGTAGTGAACCTATGATGCGAACTCTTGGGGATAAGTATATTCTCCTTGAGGTAAGGAGAACAAAACTATATCCCAGGTTTGGTATCACCAAAGCTTTATATGCTTGCAGCAAGACTTCCTTCCTCTTGTAGTTCAATCCCATTCCAATAAAAAAAACAGACTATTTACTTTCTTAATTGCTTGCTACATCTGTATGTTAACTTCTTATAATTCATGTGCAAGGACACTCAAATCCCTTACAAACAAGTATCAGCCTGTCACCATTTTAAAAAATATCCTGCTTCTCAATTCTTCCTACTAAAGTGGATCACATTACATTTCTCCACATTAGGTTCCATTTCTTACTTCTTACCCACTCACTTAGCCTGTGCATATGTCATTGCAGCCTCTGAGCGTCTATCTTAGAACTTACTTTCTGACTTAGATTTGTACAAGAGCATTCTTGGATACATTGCATTCAGTCCTCTCACGTACGTCATTGATATGAGGTTCTAGCACTGATCTTCGCAACATTCCACTAGTTACAATCTGCCAATCTGAAAATGACCCATTGATTCCTAATTTCTGCTTCCTCTCTATTAATGAATCCTCACTCCAAAATGATGTATTATCCCAATCCCACAAACTCTAATCTTGCATAAAAGCCTCTTATTTAGCACTTAATGGAAACATAGAAGTATAGAATATTTTTGGCGCAAAGGAGTCTGAAAAGCCTTGGGTATGTTTTGGGGAATATTTTGATGTATTTGCTGGAAAGTATTGTTGTATCCTTGTCAGGAGTAGGTGACCTTTAACAAGTCTGTAATTGCTGTGGGGGCCACAGGGACAGTGCCACTGGAACACCACAGCGAGATGGAGCATAGGCTGCAAGGAGGCAAGCTCCTCACAATGCCCTCTGACAACCAAAGGTTAAAGTCCTCCATCCAGCTTCACAGAGACAGTAAGCTGTCTGCCAGACCAATGTCTCAGTGTCCATTCAGTCATCTCTTGTATATATCTCTTTGATGCCCCCAGCTACGCTCTTAGCAGCAGAACTCATCTGCAACCTTGCCCTCTGACTAATGAAGCCTTCTTTAACCCTCGCCTGGCTGCATCACGTACCACCCCATCAACCTCCGGATCTAACACATCATCCTCCGACACTTCCGCCATCTGCAATCTGACTCCACTACCAAAGACATTTTTCCCTCCCCACCCTTATGTTCTTTCCAGAGGAACCACTCTCTCCATGACTCCCTTGTCCATTCCACTCTCCCCACCAGCCCCACCACCCCCGGTACTTTTCCCTGCAATCGCAGGAAGTGCTACACCTGCCCCTACACCTCCCCCCTCACCCCCATCCCAGACCCTAAGAAGACCTTCCACATCAAACAGATGTTCACCTGCACATCTGCTAATGTGGTATACTGTATCCGCTGTTCCCGTTGTGGCCTCCTCTACATAGGGGAAACCAAGTGGACGCTTGGGGACCGCTTTGCAGAACACCTACGCTCGGTTCGCAACAAACAACCGCACCTCCCAGTCACGAACCATTTCAACTCCCCCTCCCATTCCTTAGACGACATGTCCATCCTGGGCCTCCTGCATTGCCACAATGATGCCACCCGAAGGCTGGAGGAACAGCATCTCATATTCCGCTTGGGATACCTGCAGCCCAATGGTATCAATGTGGACTTCACAAGCTTCAAAATCTCCCCTCCCCCGACCACATCCCAAAACCAGCCCAGCTCGTCCCCGCCTCCCTAACCTGTCCTCCCACCTATCCAATCCTTCTACCTCAAGCCCCATCCCCACCTCCTACCCACTAGCCTCATCCCGCCTCCTTGACCTGTCCGTCCTCCCTGGACCAACCTATCCCCTCCCTACCTCCCCACCTACATTCACCTTCACTGGCTCCAACCCCACCTCTTTGACCTGTCTGTCTCTTCTCCACCTGTCTTCTCCTTTATCCATCTTCTATCCGCCTCCCCCTCTCTCCCTATTTATTTCAGAATCCCCTTCCCTTCCCCCATTTCTGAAGAAGGGTCTAGGCCCGAAATGTCAGCTTTCCTGCTCCTCTGATGCTGCTTGGCCTGCTGTGTTCATCCAGCTCTACACCTTGTCATCTCAGATTCTCCAGCATCAGCAGTTCCTACTATCTCTCTCATAATAGGATGAGGTTGTTTATGGAGTTAAGAAACCCATAAAGCAGGAAGATATCATCATCCTCAACATTCTCAGTCAGTTTAGATTCTATGAGCTGGGAAACAACTGCTTCCATGATGCCTCAGACTATAGAGTTAGGTGGTTGCTGGTATCCTTGTCCCCTGCCAGTTCTGTTCCTTTCTCTTTTAATGTGTGTCACACTGTCCTGCAAGAAAGAGGCAGAGCATCAGTGTTTGTGTAGTACTGTGTTGGAGTGAATAGCTGAATAGGTGCAGGAGGCAAGAAGATTGATGTTAGGCTGTCAGCATTGATAGGTGCATGCAGGTGAGGTGATGGATCTTAGCTTCTTATCAAGCTCTATGTTGGACCTCTGATGAAGGTGAAGGGGACCAGTGCCAGAAACAGCATCAGCAACAGCCTTCCCTTCAGCCAACATCAGCGACAAACAGAGACCTCCAATTCACAAGTGGCACTACCGCAACATAGCTTGTACAGTAAGAAAGTTAACTTTCTGAACATTACAAGCATCAGCACCTCAGGAAGATCAGACTTTCATGTGAGATCATTGCTGATATTTGCAAACCTCTGGGAACAACCCACCTGTCAAGTGGAACATCCGCTGTGGACAAGGCCAATGCTTCTTTGTCCCCCTGCTCCTTCCAGGGCCACCTGCAGGATTTCATAATAAGTACATCTGTCCAATGCCCAATACTGCCTTTGCCCCTGAATTGGGCCATTTATACCCTCTTTGTACCTGAAGTGAGCCATCAAAAACTAAGAGCACTGAGATTTGCTATTCTGCCTGGATGTCCAAGATAAGTGGATTTGCTCCCAGAAGGCAATGAAGGTGTCTTCAGAACAGCAACTGTATTCACCAACTGAGGAATTCCATTCTGTTAATGTTCAGCTTTCACGTAACCACTGAAAATGTATCATGCCCAGCTGAACAAGGTATCTGGAAGCTGCCATGACTCCGTCATGGAGTGTCATTCAACCTCTGCCAGATACACACCTCTCCAACACATTATTTGGAGTTATTCGAGGTTATTTTGGAGACAAGGTGCTACTCTCTATCATCTAAAGGCATGACACATGGCATCTGTGAGGAACTCAATACAAGTGATGCAAAGGAGTAGTATAAAAGTGGTTATTTGAGTCTGAGTGATCACTGAGCAGGCCTTTAGGATGCTGAAGATGTGAATCTGTAAGATTCTGGGAAAGATTGGGGGTGTACAGAATGATTGTGGTTTCTTCATAGCTGCAGCTATGGGTCGAGGCAGCACCCCTTAAATTCCAACACAGGACTACACATGATCATACATCTGCAGCTGCACAATGAATTTAACAGGCACATTTGAACAAATGGGCATGTTGGTGCTGGGCTGCACTTTTCACAACATGACCACAGCAAAGAGCTCAGGATTAACAGCCACTCATATTACAGCCAGTCCTCTTAATTATTCACCCACCCTCTTGCTTTGTCACAATTCAGTTAATTTTAAAAGAAACTCTTGTAGATTCTTTTTTTCCCAGAATCAAAATAAACATGTATTTATTTATATAAACTGAGCTCATTTAAACAGGCTTTCTTGATTTAATGAACAAGTGAATGAACTACTGATTTAATGAATTATTAGCTACTCAATGCAAGAAAAAATAATAATGCAGCACACAAATTAGAGTCCAAAGCAAAATAAATGTTCAAAAAAGACATTTGAATCAGTCTCCGTGTTCTAAATATGACTTTTCAGCCATTGTGTTGAATGTTACTGGTAATGCTGATATTGATAGGTGAGCAGTTGATTTTGAGGTTCTTAGCTGCAAATTGGCAGAAAGGCCTTTGTACTGTTTCCTCTCAACGGTGGTTTCACGTAGTTTCTTGCTTCCAGCAAAGAGAGAGATAGAGTTGCTTTCTTTTCACCTGCAGCATAGGTTTTTCTCGGCTGTGTCCTTCAAACGACACACCACCAGTGTTGAACTTAGTTTACAACCCCTTTTATTGTCTATTCTTGAAAGCAAAAAACAAACATGTCTCATACAGCTTAGGCAGATTGGCAATGCTGAATTACCCATAGTGTCCCTTGATGTGCAGGCTCGGTGGATTAGCCATGGGAAATGCACGGTTATAGGAATAGGGTAGGGGTGGTGGGTCTGGGTGGGATGCTTTATGGGCCAAATGGCCTAATTCCACACTATAGGGATTCTATGATTCTCACACAGACTGCGATCATTTCTCTCATTATATTTACAGTCCAACATAACACATGGGAGATTATTGTTCAGTTTGCAGCACAATTCTCCCTGTGAAGTCCTTTGCTTTGACACTATCTTGACACACATCAAATGACATTCTAGGGTCTCCCTCATGACTGAAGATAATCTACCTATGCCTTCAGGGCAATCGCTGAATTAAATTGATCAAAATTTTCATTTTAAATCATTTTCTGTCTGTATATGTTTTAAAAATAAATACAAGCTGTAATTAAAAGACCAATAAGAAAAAAAAAACAGGAAATAGTAGAGGAGTTGAATAAGTATTTTCTATCAGCCTTCACAACAAAAGCATTCCAAAATTGCTAAATATTCAAGTAACAACAGGAGGACTGGAAATAAGTAACTAATTGTCACTACAGAAAAAATATGAGGGAAACTAAATGGGCTAAAGACTGACTCTAAAGACCTGATGGAATTCATCTTAGGATATTAAAGGAAGTAGCTACATGGATAGTAGGAAGTAGCTACAGGAATAATAGATGAAGTGAAAGTTATTTTCCAGAAATTCTTAGGTTCTGGAAAAGTCCTAGAGGAATGGAAAACTGCCAATGAAACATCTTTATTTAAAAAGGAAAGGGGACAAGAAACAGGTAACTATTGGCCAATTAGCCTAACATGTGTTATTGGGAAAATATTAGTGTCTATTTTAAAGGATGTAATAGCAGAGCACTTAGAAATACATAATATGATCAAGCAGTGTACACATGGCTTCATGAAGTGGAGATTATGTCTGACAAATTTATTAGAATTATTTGAAGATGTAATAAGCAGGATAGATGAAGGAAGAGCAGTGGATGTAATATATTTGAATTCTCAGCAGACTGAATTCTTAATCTAGCTAATAAGATAAGAGCCCATGGTGTTGGAGGTAGAATATTAACTTGGCTAGAGGATTGACCAACTAATTGAAGACAAAGAATTGGGATAAGGGGCATTTTCAGGATGGCAACTTGTAACTAATGGTGTGCCACAGGTATAAGTGCTGGGGCCACAGTTATTTACAATGTGTATATTAATGACTTGGATGAGGCAAGTGAATACACTATTGCAAAGTTTACAATGACACAAAGATAGGTGGGAAGGCATGTTATGAGGATACACAAGAGTTTCTAGAAGGATATAGATGGGTTAAGCCAGTGGGCAAACACTTTGTAGATAGAATACAATGTAAGAAAATATGAGAGTATGCACTTTGACAGAAAGAATAGATGAGATAAATATTATTGAAATGGAGAAAGATTGCAGAGAGCTACAGAACAGATGGATTTGGGAAACTTCATCCATGAATCACAAAAAAAAGGTACATCTAAGTTCAGAGGATAATAGACAAATGGAATGTTGGCCTTTATCTCTAAAGAATGGAGTATAAAAGGTTTTGCTAAAACTATACAAGGCACTAGTCAAACCACATCCGGAACACTGTGAACAGTTTTGGGCACTTCAACTAATGAAAGACATACTGGCATTGGAGGCAGTCCAGAGAAGGCTCACTAGGCTGATATAGGAAAAACTATCTTATGAGTAGATTGGGCCTGTTCTCATTGGAATATAGAAAAATCAGAGATGATCTTATTGAAATATACAACATTCTTGGTGTACTTGACAAGGGTAGATGTAGAGAGATTGTTCTTTTTGTGGGAATCTAAAACCAGAGGGAATAATGCCAGAGTAAGGAATACTCATGACTGACATCCACTGACGCAGCTCCTGAAGACCCCAGTTAGGACTGCCCCACTTAGCCCTGAGCAAGGCCAGACTGAGCCACCAGGATGCATCATGTGCACTTTAACTGAGTCGGGTGGAATGCAAGAGGTAAGAGTGGGACCACTATGAACAAAGTCTTCGTTGTTGCAACCTCCATAGATACCTACAATTTTTAAAAGGTTCAAAAGTCCAATTGATAGGCTGAAGTAATGAAATGGCAAGGTTTGATTTGATTTGACTTATTGTAGTCACATTTACCTAAGTACAGTGAAAAGCTTTTGTTGCGAGCAGTACAGGCAGATCATAGTAAGCAAGGGCATACAGATGATGGGGTGCTTAGATACAGCAAGACATACAGGTTGCACTGATCAACATTAATAAGATCCACACTATTTGAAGTCAGAAAGTCTATTCAGCAATCTAATAACAGCAGGGAAGAAGCTGTTCTCGAATCTGCTGGTATGTGTGTTTAAGCTTCTGTACCTTCTGCCCGACAGAAGAGGATGTAGGAGAGCATTATCAGGTGGGAGGGGTCTTTGGCGTTGTTGGCAGCCTTTCTGCAGCAGCGAGAAGTGTAAATGGACTCCAAGGATGGAAGGTTGACTACTGTGATGGTGTGGGCTGTGCACACAATCTTCTGTAGTTTCTTATGGTCCTGGGCAGAGCAGTTGCATTACCAGGCCATTATTATGCCCCTGGATAGTATGCTTTCTATGGTGAATCTGTAAAAGTTGGTGAGGGTCCTTATGGGCATGCTGAATTTCCTAAGCCACCTGAGGAAGAAGAGGTATTATTGTGCCTTCTTGACGGTCACATCTATGTGGGAAGTCCAGGACATGTTGTCGGTTATTGTCACTCCTGGCAACTTAACGCTCTCAAACCTAGTGGGAAAATTATTGGAAAGGGCTCTGAGAGATTGAAATTATGATCACTTGGATAGGCACAGTTTGATTCGTGATAGTCAGCATGGATTTGTGAGGGGTAGATCATGCCTCACAAACCTTATTGAATTCTTTGAAGAGCTGACCAAACACGTGGATGAAGGTAGAGCAGTGGATGTGGTATACACAGATTTAAGTAAGGCATTTGATAAGGTTCCCCATGGTCATGCAGAAAGTAAGGAGGCATGGGATAGGGGGAAATGTGGCAGATTGGATTCAGAATTGGCTGACCCTTAGAAGACAAAGGGTGGTAGTGGACGGATAATATTCAACACGGTGTTCAGTTACGAGTGGTGTACCCTAAGGATCTGTTCTGGGTCCTCTTCTATTTGTGATTTTTGTAAATGATTTGGATGTAGGAGTGGAAGGGTGGATTAGTAAGTTCATGGATGATACGGACAGTGCGGAGGGCTGTTCTAGGTTACAAAGGGACATTCATAGGATGCAGAGCTGGGCTGAGAAGTGGCAGATGGACTTTAACCCTGAAAAGTGTGAGGTGATTCATTTTGGAAGGACAAACTTGAAAGCAGAATACAGGGTTAACGGAAAGACTCTTGGCAGTGTGGAGGAGCAGAGGGATCTCGGGGTTCATGTTCACAGTTCCCTGAAAGCTGCCACCCAGGTGGATAGAGTTGTTAAGAAGGCGTATGGTGTGTTAGCTTTCATTAATAGAGGGATTGAGTTCAAGAGCCGTGAAGTTATGCTCCAGCTATACAAATGCTTGGTTCGGCCACATCTGGAGTATTGTGTCCAGTTCTGGTCACCTCATTACAGGAAAGATGTGGAAGCGTTGGAAAAGGTGCAGAGGAGATTTACCAGAATGTTGCCTGGAATGGAGGGAAGGTCTTACGAGGTAAGGTTGAGAGAGCTAGGGCTTTTCTCTTTAGAACGACGAAGGATGAAAGGTGACTTGATAGAGGTGTACAAAATGATCAGAGGTATAGATAGAGTAGACAGCCAGAGACTTTTTCCTTGGGTGGAGGTAGCTTTTACGAGGGGACATAGTTTTAAAGTGAAAGGAGGTAGATATCAGGGATACATCAGAGGTAGGTTCTTTACTCAGAGAGTGGTAGGGGCGTGAAATGCATTGCCGGAGAGGGTAGTGGAGTCGGCCTCATTAGGGGCATTTAAGCAGCTATTAGATAGGCATATGGATAATAGTATAAGTTGGCAGTGGAGGTTAGATAGACCTTAGGTTTAGGGTAAAAGTTCGACACAACATCGTGGGCCGAAGGGCCTGTACTGTGCTGTACTGTTCTATGTTCTCTCAACCTCGGCTTTGTTGATATAGATGGGGGCGTGTTCTCCTCCTTTCTTGCAGAAGTCAATGATCAGTTCTTTTGTTTTGCCGACATTGACAGAGAAGTTGTTATCATTGCACCATGACACCAAGCACTCTATCTCCTTTCTGTATTCACACTCATCGTTGTTTGATATTCATTCTACCACAGTGGTGTTGTCAGCAAACTTGTAGATGGCGCTTGTTTGGAATTTCGCTACATAGTCGTGGGTGTATGGGGAGTACAGTAGGGGGCTGAGAACGCATCCTTGGGGCGCTCCAGTGTTGAGGGTTATCATGGAGGAAGTGCAGTTGTCTATCTTCACTGATTGTGAACTGTGCATCAGGAAGCTCAGGATCCAGTTGCAGAGGGCAGTGCTCTGGAGGGGACTGAGATCAGTCTGAAGGGGATAACGATGTTGAAGGTGGAGATGTAGTTGATGAGTAGGAGTCTGACATATGTGTCCATTTTGTTCAGGTGTTCCAGGGATGAGGGCAGGTCTAGGGAAATGGTGTCGTTGCACCAGTAGGCAAATTGCAGGGGATCGAGGCAGGCTGAGTTGATGTGGACCATAGCCAGCCTCTTGAAGTACTTCACGATTATGGAGGTCAGAGCCACTGAGCAACAGTTATTAAGGCACATTGCATGTGCTTTCATTGGTACTGGGATGGTGGTGGTCTTCCTGAAGCAAGTAGGGACTTTGGCTTGTAGGAGGGAGAGGTTTCATGTTTTAAACTTTGAGTAAAAGCAGTACCAATCCTAACGACTATTTTCTTTTTGTATGTAGCTTATACTCCAAAATAGAGAAAGTGATGTACACTTCCCTGTACACTTCCACACATCGCATTCTCCACAGAAATTCAGTTGCACAGTTCTGGTTATGATAAATTGGGGAATGTTATTTAAAGGGATGATAGGCAATGGCAAATATTTAAACAGCGTATGGAGGAACTGCCACCATTGTTAAGCCCATAAGACACTAAGAAATGGGAACAGGTGTAGGCCATTTGTCCTCTTGTGCCTGCTACACCATTCAATAGGATCACGGCTGATCCAACACTCCTCATGTCCACTTGCCTGTCCTTTCTCCACAATCCACGATTTCCCCTACTGATCAAGAATCCTGTCATAGTCACCCTGACCACTGTCTAGGTCAAAAGAAAATACAACTAAGCAGAGTCATAGAATGTGCAGTATCTGATTATTGCTAACTGAGCTGCAGCTGACACCTAAGTCACAACACTGACTGTTGTTTGCAAAGTGGCTTAGCAATGATCAGACACTGCACATTCTATGACTCTGCTTAGCTGTATTTTTTTTTTACCTAGGTAGTGGTCAGGGTGGCTATGACAGGATGGCCAATTCTGGGTTCTTTGCCTCTCCCTGGTATTCTTTCTACAAGAAGCGAGTTATGAATGTGACGAATGGAATACGTTGGAATTTCCTTGAGTTGCACCATTCCCATTGCTAACTCTCAGGTGGTACCTGTAGGAAGTTTCTATTCTGTCACTCCATGGGGTTCCTTTAAATACAAAAGCTTCAACAAATCAATGTCTCCTGTCGGGAAACCTGGCAGCCTTCCACACAGCAAGCATTTTATACGTCTCTTGGAAAAGTTGCAAAGTATTTCACACATATTTAATAGATTTGATATGCAGCAACATTTGTTTTGTAGGAAAATGGGAAGATTAAGTTTTGTAGGCACAGCTGAGAAGCTCAACCATTCAAGCTTGCATCTCACTGGGTGTCCAGGACTTGTGGATAGCAGCCAACTCGGACGCTTATTTGGAACACGTATGACTAATGATTTATTAATCTTGCATGTCACAACTAAAACTATTTATGAATCTTACCATATATGTACCACTTTCTTCCTACTTTCCAGCCAAATGAAAGGAAAGCATATTCTTTGAGGCCATGTTGTGTTCCTCTCAATTCTATTCTCCTGCATTTGAAACAGACAATGAGATGAGCAATGGTCCACTATCCTGTCCCACATTATTATGATGCCTTGTGAATCACAGTATTAACACTCTCCCCGCTATGCTAATCCATGTGACCTCTTGGGAGAGACAGAAAGGCAGATTAAAAATCCAAGTCAACCGAAAGGAAAGAATCTGGAAAATTTCCTTTAACTGGTCAAGACACGTCAAAGATATCTCTCTAGCTCTGAATTCCCTGCAATATCTACTTGCCTTAGGCAGAAACTGGACCAGTTCCCCCTTGAAGGAGATGGCTGTCTGTTCAGAGATCCACTCTTTCATCTCTCTATATCTAACCTAGATTTGGTATTATACAACTCACAGTTCTGACCCTTTGTCCTCCTTATTGTATTATGCTTCAAGACCAATATTTCAGCTTACCTTTAAGAAAGAGCCTCATTCTGTCATCACTTTTCAGAGCATGTGATCTGAGGGTACAAAGGTTTAACATTCCATCTCTATTGGGATTCTTAGAGCATGATATGTTATTGAAAATATGCTGCTCTTTTTAAACTAATAACTTAACTTTAGCCCAGACATTTATGTGCCTGTGATTCTTTTTAATTCATCATGGAACAGGAGCTTCACTGATTGGGCCAGTATTTATTGCCTGTCCCTATTTGAAAAGATGCTGGTGAGCTGCCTTCTTGAACTGTTGCAATCCATGTGCTGTAAGGCGATCCACAATGCCATTAGGGAGAATTCCAGGATTCTGACCCAGTGACACCAAAGGAATGGCAATATATTTCCCACTCAGGATAGTGAAGGCCTAGTGGGGCACTTTGATAAGTCTCTTATCAAAAGCTTTTTGGAAGTCTGAATAAAGAGTGTCCGTTGATGTACTGACGTGTATTTAAGCTGTTAAAAATACAACTAAGGACTGGCATGGCTCATGTCCCATCTCCTCAACAATTCTCGGGCAAGTGTTAACCAGATACCATCGATTTTCAAATTATCAATTCTTTCCAAAATAATATGTCCATCTGTTTATTATTGTCAACTTTATTACTTAATCTGTTCATTCTAATAGTTAAACATTGTCCTTAGGTGTGAAGACTGATGCAACGTGACCACTTACAGGTGATGCTTTTCCCATATCTGCCACTCTTGACCTTATAAGTGACGTTGGCCGTGGATTTGGAAGTGCTAGGAGATTTGGTGAAGTTCTGCAGTGCCTCTTATAGATAGTACAACATTGCTGCTACCGAGCATCGGTGGTGGAGGGAATGACTCAAGAGACAGACAAAGCACATCTATAGCTGTTTCCATCACCAGTTTTATCTGGAACAGATCACTAGCCTGTCATCAGAGGCTGTAGCTTGATTCTGCATCAAGCATGATGGCCAGGAGCTTTCTCACTCTTACTGTCTGACAGATAGATACTGGATGCAGTAAAGCCAACTACTGCGCTATGAGACCTCCGTCCTTAGACTATGCTTGTCTGAAGTGTAGAGTCTGAGTTCATTTAAGCTATCTTGATAACTAAGTTACTTTATACTATGAATGAATCTAGTAAGCTTCATCTGCGCTTATTCCAGAGCCCCAGAAGCATCCACCATGTGAGGAGACCAAAATTGAACCTATTTCATCTGAGACCTGACTAAGTTCTTGTACAAGGGCAAAATAGTATATCCTGTCTTATCCCTGAATGCATCCTAGTAACTTTTTCAATCTATCACTTCATAGTACTGCTGATGTTCCTTTAGAGATGTCAAGACTAGAAAGTTGAGCAATCTTTCTTTCTTCACCTTCTTCACCAATCTTGTAAAAAGCCTCTTGTGTAGTCCCTTATTAAAAGCTTTTTGGAAGTCTAACTGGACAACGTCTGTTGATGTACTGTCATGAATTTGAGCTGCTAAAAATATAACTACGGACTAGTACGGCACATGTCCCATCTGCGCAATGATTCTCAGGCAAGTGCCAATCAGCTACCATTGATTTTCAAATTATCAATTCTTTCTCAAACAATATGTCCATCTGTTTATTATTACTAACTATTATTAAATGTGTTCAATTTTAAGAGTGAAACATTGTTCTTAGGTGTGAACAGTGATGCAAAGTGCCACTTAATATTACCATCACGCCTATTGAGTCCTTTGAAATCTATCCTTGAAAAGCTCAATGCAACCTTTAACAATTTCTGTCGCTATAATAACTACAAAGGCTTTTCTGAGTACTTCCACAATCATCTAAACTCTGACTGTTGACTATTAAATGTCTCTTATTTACTGAAACATTTGAGTTCACATTTTACTTGACTTCAGAAATGATTAGTCAGCCACTTTGGCTTCTTCAGACCACGTGTCCCCCTTTCGATTTGGTTTTCACTGTTCTTTATCTCAGGAGAGTAATTACTTTTTCAATTCCAAGTGTCTCTTTCCTGGTTCGTCTTTTGTTTCTACTTACTGTTTCATTCTATTCTCTGTTTTCAACATTAGACGTTAAATGATATTCAACAGCTTGGACTTCTGAAACACTATGCCAACAATTACCCCTCTTCTAAGTACATAGAAAATAATGAAACAGAACAAAACACACATTTATCACATAATATATATATAAAACATTAATATAAAATAAACAAATACATGAAATATTAGTGAATTTTGAAAAAGTAACTCATATAGATTATAGGCAACAGAATGTAAGTCGTATGGAATTAACAACATCAATCATCCCCAAATTAAAACTCTTTCCAGGTATATTGATTCCGGAATTGACTTCAACCTGTCCAATCATCTGGGAATGGCCTCCACAAAAAGATCTCTCTGCCACTCAAAGACAAATGGTCAAAAGGGTCCTGAATCTAAATAAAGAAACTATGACTGTATGAGGCGCAAGCTGGGGAATGTTACTTAACGGAATAATGGTAGAAAGACAATGGTAAACATTTAACAAGTACACTTCAATGATTGTTCATTCTTGTCTGGCACAAAAATAAAACAGGAAAGGTGGCTCAGACATGGCTAACAAGTGTAAATTAAGGATAATATTGGATTCAATGGTTGGGTGAACAAATTGGTCCAAAAAAGAAGCAGACCTGAGGATTGGGAGCAGTTTGGATTTCAGCAAAGGAGAACAAAGGAATTAATTAAGAGGGGGAAAAGAGAATATGAGAGTAAGCTTACGGTGACCATACAAACTGTTTGTAAAAGCGTTTATAAGTATATGAAGAGGAAAAGAGTAGTGAAGACACATAGAACATAGAACAGTGCAGCACAGTACAGGCCCTTCGGCCAACGATGTTGTGTCGAACTTTTACCCTAAACCTAAGGTCTATCTAACCTCCACCGCTACCTTATACTATTATCCATATGCCTACCTAATAGCCGCTTAAATGCCCCTAATGAGGCCGACTCCACTACCCTCTCCGGCAATGCATTCCACGCCCCTACAACTCTCTGAGTAAAGAACCTACCTCTGACGTATCCCTGATATCTACCTCCTTTCACTTTAAAACTATGTCCCCTCGTAAAAGCTACCTCCACCCAAGGAAAAAGTCTCTGGCTGTCTACTCTATCTATACCTCTTGGTCATTTTGTACACCTCTATCAAGTCACCTCTCATCCTTCGTCGTTCTAAAGACCTTTCCTCTATTCCAGGCAACATCCTGGTAAATCTCCTCTGCACCTTTTCCAACGCTTCCACATCTTTCCTGTAATGAGGTGACCAGAACTGGACACAATACTCCAGATGTGGCCGAACCAGGCTTTTGTACAGCTGGGGTATAACTTCACGGCTCTTGAACTCAATCCCTCTATTAATGAAAGCTAACACACCATACGCCTTCTTAACAACTCTATCCACCTGGGTGGCAGCTTTCAGGGAACTGTGGACATGACTCCCAAGATCCCTCTGCTCCTCCACACTGCCAAGAATCTTTCCGTTAACCCTGTATTCTGCTTTCAAGTTTGTCCTTCCAAAATGAATCACTTCACACTTTTCAGGGTTAAAATCCATGTGCCACTTCTCAGCCCAGCTCTGCATTCTATCAATGTCCCTTTGTAACCTAGAACAGCCCTCTGCACTGTAGGTCCCGTATATTCAGAAATAGGGTACCTTATAATGGGGAACAAAGAAATGACAGACCAATTAAATACAAATTTTGCTCTATCTTCACAAAGGAGGACACAAATAATGTTCCAAAAATGTTGTGGAATACAGCGATTAGTGAGAGGGAGAAACCGAAGAAAACCAGTACTAGCAGAGAAATGGTATTGAGGAAATTAATCAGATTAAAGGCCAATAAATCTCTAGGTCCGAATTATCTACATCCCAGAGTACTTAAGGAAGTGACCCTAGAAATATTGGATGCATTTGTGGTCATCTTCCAAGATTCTTTAGACTTTGGTATGGCTGCTATGGATTGGAGGTTGGTTAATGTAACCCTGTATTTAAAAAAGATAGAAACAGAGGTAGAGAGATAGCAGGAAATTATAGACAGGTTTGCCTGACATCAGTAGTAGGGAAAATTCTAGAGGACATTAGAAAAGATATAATAGCAGAGTACTTGGAAAACAGTGCCAGGAATGAGGAGAGTCAGCATGGATTTATGAAAGGAAACTCATGCTTAACAAGTGCACTGGAATTCTTCAAGGATGTAACTAGTAGAATTGATCAGGGAGTGCCAGTGGAAATGGTTTATTTAGCCTTCCAGAAAGCTTTCCATGAGGTCTCATGTAAGAGATCAGCACATAGACTTAAAGTACATGGAATTGGGGGGAGTGTACTAACAGGGTAGTGTACTAACATGGATACTAACATGAACTGGTTGGCGGACGTGAAACAATGAGTAGGAATAAACAGGTCATTTTCCGAGTGGCAGCCAGTGAATGGTGGGGTACCGCAGGGATCAGTGCTTGGACACCAGCTATTTCCAATATACATTCATGATGTAGACAAGGGAACTAAATGTCATATCAGTATCTCCAAGTTTGCAGATGGCACAAAGCTGGGTGGGAGGGTGCACTGTGAGGAGGATGCAGAGATGCATCAGTGTGATTTGAACAAGTTGAGTGAGTGGGCATATGAGTGGCAGACAAAGTATAATGTGAATAAATATCACTTTCGTAACAAAAAACAGAAAGGCAGATTATTATTTGAATGGCAATAGACTGGGAAAGGAGGATGTGCAATGAGACCTGGATGTCCTAACACACCAGTCTCTGAAAGTAAGCACGCAGGTGCAGCAGGTGCTGAAGAAGGAAAATAGTATGTTGGCCTTCATAGCGAGAGGATTTAAGTACAGGAGAAGGGATGTCTTGATGCAATTATACAGGCCCTGGTGAGACAACACTTGGAGTATTGTGTGCAGCAGTTTTGGTCTCCTTATTTGAGGAAGGATGTTCTGGCTATGGAGGGAGTGCAACTAAAGTTTACTACACTGATTCCTGGGATAGCACAACTGAAGTATGAAAAGGAATTGGATCCATTAGGACTATATTTGTTGGAGGTTAGAAGAATGAGGGGGAATCCCATAAAAACCTATAGAATTCTAACAGGTCTAGACCTAGTAAAGGCAGGAGGGATGTTTTTGATGACCAGGGGTCACTGTCTAAGGATACAGTGGTACGCCATTTAGGATTGAGATTATGAGAAATTTCTCTGATGAGCCTTTGGCATTCTTTGTTGCAGAAAGTGGTTGCGGAGAAAACATTGAATGTTTACAGGAAGGAGTTAGATATAAATCTAGGGCTAAAGGGATCAAAGGTTGTGGGAAGAAAGTGGAAACATGCGATTGAGTTGGATAATCAGCCATGAACATATTGAATGGTGGAGAAGGCTTGAAGGGCCAAATGGCCTGCTTCTGCTCCTATTTCCTATGATTTTATGAACAAAATGCCAGAAGAACTCCCCACCCTCAATTACCTCTTTGACTACATTTGCTCTTGTCTTGTCTTTTCTTCTCATTCTCATCAAGTCTGTTCTCAGTCAGTGAAGAGCAATTGTTCTCTTCTCCCTCTCCTATCTCTCATCTTAATCACATGGCATTCTGCAGGTCAGTCCCTTATCGTTCTCTACTCCACCTCTTTGGAAATGCTCTCACCATCCAATGTAGCTTCACAGCATTCATCTTACTTCTAAAATACTTCCAGTGACATTCTGTTGGTTCATTGACACACCTTCACAATATGGTCCCAATACTGTTGTCCTTTTTATCATTTCCTTACGATTCCCTCATTTTCCCTCTTCAATATATTCCAAAAGAATCCTCACTGCCTGCTCTATTATTACATGAATCATAACAGTGTGTGTTGGGTATCAATTTAAGGGCATTACAGAAAGCAGGATTCAGTTATCAGCCAACATTCACATACATTTCTACCTGATCTTGCTGGCTATTCATCAGATGTGGTGACCCAACACACACAAAACCAGAAAATGCTGGAGAAACTCATCAAGTCTGGTAGCATCTGTGAAAACAGAGTTAACATTTCGAGGGCAGCATCTGTGAAAAGAAAACAGTTAACTTTTTGAGTCCTGTGACCCTTCTGCTCTCCAAACAGTTAACTTTTTGAGTCCTGTGACCCTTCTGCTCTGAAGGAGAGTTATTGCCCTCAAAATGTTAACTCTGTTTTCACAGATGCTACCAGACCTGCTGAATTTCTCCAGCAATTTCAGTTTTTTGTGTTTCAGATCTCTAGCATCCACAGTTTATTTTGTTTTATTTTACTGGTAACCCAACATTATTTGACCAAAGCTCAACGATTTTGATCACTGACAAAATAATTGTACATTTGTGCCCATTCAGACAATGTCAACACAAAACTAGCTAAATTATGAGCAAGTCCCCATCAGTTTTATAATAATCTGAATCTACAGTTATTAACTTTGAACCACTTTTTGAACTCCCTAGCTTTTTAATTATGTGAATTACTTCAACTGGAAGTATTTCCATGTATCAGCAACTCTGCTGGAAAACACTAATCCCAAGTCTTTCTTTCGACTTTTTAGTGTTATGTATAATAGGCATTGCAGTGGGTAAACCACTATGTGATTCAGTTCTTCTTCATTAAACTTATTCCACTCCAATTTGCTTTTTTTTACTTTTCTATGCCCACTCTTGTAACACCTAATTGCGATTGTGAACATCCAAATTAAATAAACACTGCATGTGGAATCCATGATTAACAATTAGTGCGGTTTGTTTTGGCCATACAGTGTCAAACTGTGAGGCGTTCTACGTGACCACTCCCTTTCCCAGTAAAGCACTTTCCTCAGTGCCTGTGTGTTTTTTTACATATTAATCTCTGTTAGCAAGCTTCACATTTTGTTGTCTCACTCCCCCAAATCAAATGGAAGAGCACATAACAGTAACAAATAACGTTAAGTTCTGATCAGATATCCCTGCACTTCTAAATGTTCATTAGACTCCAGAATTGAGTTTTTCTAAAAGTACACATACATTGTTTGTTACTTTCACGGCTCCATCGTGACTGATGAGTCATGCAGAGTGCGGTCAGTGTGAGTGCGTGACTAAGGAAAAGGCAGGATGTTGCAGGGAATCGGTGTCGCCTCGCTGACAGAGCTCGAGCTCCCTGGGCGGGGGCTCCACGCTGCAGCCAGAGCTCCATCATGCCAGCCACCAGCCGCTGATCACGCAGCCCCCGGCCGCCCATTCGCCGGCGTCGCACACACCTTTGTGCCTGACTGGTCGTTGCTCGTTCTCAGCACCGCCCTCGGCGGACTCTCCACCTGAATGAAGCGAGGGGCGGGACTGGACTGGAGTGGACGGCCAGCAATAACTGCAGAGTGATTACAGTGTAGCGGAGCTCCGTTTCCTTTGTGTATCTGCACTCAATTTATGCGTTTCGTTGCTGAAAGCCAAGAGTGAGTAGTTGTTAGTTTTATTGCGTTGCTTTTTGAGAGCAGTCACAGACAAAGTGTCCCTCCTTCTGCTTAATCCATTATGTGTAAATGAACCTATTTACATCAGTGGATTATTCTTTACTTTGAAAATAATGTCTATATTTCTTCTTGAAGCCTTTTCCACTTGCCACCTCTTTTTTTCCAGGAATTAATTCAATCAGCACAGTCAATTCCTATTATGTGACTGGCTAAAGGAAATATTGTATAATCTTGTCTGCATTTGGTGAACCAATAACACATATCAAAGCACAGAACCGAATTGATTGTCAGTAATTGTTCCTCTGAGCGGGAGTATTCTTCTTCTGTCTGTGAAATATTACTGTGAAATTTCATTCCTCCTTTCTTCCCCGCCCAACCCTCACTGTTGATTTGAACATGTTTTTGTGTTCGCTGCAGAATGCCATTACAAGTAGAAGGGTGGAAGTTTACTGTTCCCGTTTTGTTTATCGACTTGTCCCTGTTAGCGCTGTCTTGCTTTCTGCTTTTTGTTCATTTGCTCTGACGCGAGTGCCTGTTTTCTGCAGCCTCTGCCTGTTTGCCGGGTTGGGGGAGTGTGTGTGTGTGTGTGTGTGTGTATACGCTGGAGCTTGTTTGGAAACTGGGGGAAAGGTCGCTGCGGTGACTGGTTCAAGTTCGCGCAGCGGCTCAGCATGCAGCCTTCACATGGAGAGAGCCTGCTCCAATCCACTCACTGGAAGGCGGGATTGCACCTCAGAGAGGTATAGGCAGAGAAAGCACACGTTGTGTGGCGTGTGTCTGGCTGGGGGTGGTGGTCTCCCTTCACATCCACGTCTGCCTTTTTCTACTAGGAATTGCACGCCACTGATAATGTCTGAGAAAGACCCGAGCTTCAGTCAAAATCACCCTGACTTCATGTGCAGAGGTAACATATTTAAGGACGCCCGGTATACAAGAGCCTATGGGACAGAAACTCCAGTAGATGCTTATTTCTTACGTTGTAAACGAAGCAATAGTCAGCAGGTATGATTGTGGCAGACGTTATTCAGCTCCTAAAAGTAAAAGGTGCTGTGTAAGCTCGGTATGTGGGAAGAGTGGAGTCATACTGGATCCAAAACGTCAACCCTTCTGCTTTCTACATATCCTATCAGACCTGCTGAGTTTCTCCAGTACTTACTGTTTACATTTCAGATTACCAGTGTCTGTTGTATTTTTCTTTTGTTATGCCAATTATTTGATGTATAGGTAAGATGTGTGAATTATTTAGGGTCACAGGAATCTAGGCATCTAAGCAAGAACCCATCAGTTTTTTTTTCATTGATGTGGAGAATGTGATGATTTTAAACTTTTTACATGTTTAGTAATTTAAATATTTAATTAAAGTTGTTATTTCTGTTACTGACTGTGGTAGTTTATTCCTCCCTGTACTGATTGACCTGTATTGTTTGACACAGTTGGCCAGGTTCCATTAAACTGCATTTAAATAGTATTATTCTTGTCTATTTGAATAAAAACACTGTATTTTGAGTAATTATATCTATACTGATCCCTTTACTATCACTCTTAAACTCATGTAAGAATCCATCCTTGGCCCTGCTCCTCCTGTCCTGTCCCTCTGACATCACTCACAGACACACATTCAGTTTCTATATGTATCCCAATGACGTTGTACTGTTCTGTCACTTATCTCAGCCTTGTATCACCTCTATGCTGAGTTTCTGTCTGATATTGGCTCCTGAGTGAGTCACAGTTTCCTGCAGGTAGTCCTGGGAGGACTGAAATCATTGCTTTAAGCCCTGGTCATAAACACAGGCTCCTTGTTGCTGACTTATTCTCCTCCCCAGCCATTCCCAACCAGAGCATGGAAAGCCTTGATATCATGTTTGATCTAGAGCTGATCTTCAAACCCACATATTATTTGCCACCAACACCCCTTATTTCTACTTGCCTCAATCATCCTGCTCTTAAAACTCATGTCCATACTTCCCCGAACCTCTAAACCAATTTTCCTAAATATATACCTTCCTCACCCATAAACATTCAACTGGTCAGAAACTGATCCTGTACTTTCTCTGTGCACACTGTCTTTTATTCTCGCCTGTTCATGGATGTAGCTGGCAAGGGCAGCATTAGTTGCTCATTCTTAATTGTCCTTGACCTGACTGGTTTCTGAAGCCATCTCAGAGGGCTGTCAACATGTAGTTGTGGGTCTGCAGTCACGTATAGACTGCGGAGGTAAGGATGACAGATTTCCTTCCCTAAATGACATTAACAAGTTGCATTTATACAATTGCTGATGGTTGCCATGGTTACCATTACTGAGACTAGCTTTCAGTTCTATATTTTACTGAATACAAATTCCATCAGCTGCCATCCTTAACCCCGTGCCCACAGCCTGGTCCTTTGGATTCCTAATCGAGTGATGTTATCAGTATACTGCTGTCACCCATAAATCTATTCTGTCCATCATCACAACCCTTTCTTCAATCTACACCGGCTTTTGATTTGCTGGGAAACCAATGTAAAAATTCTTCTGTTAATTTTCATTTCTGTTTCCCTACTCTTACTCTATAACCTTCTGCAGTATTTGCTCCTCCCATGTTGTTCAGTGGTCTTCTCTGATTCAACTCCTTATTTATTTTACTACTTCCACCATCCATATAAAGTGCAGTGCAGTGTATTCTGTGTGATTGCTGTGGGATGAATGCAAGTGTTTGTTATAAATAATGGTAATATGTGATTGACTAACACTTCATTGGCATCTAATTCGAATTCTGAGTTATAGGTCAATATTGAGTAGGCCCAGGTAATTGCATCTTTGTAATAAATTTAAAATAAGCCTTTGAAGGTTTCAGAATAAAAAAAAGCCAAACATGCCTTTTGTTTTATTTGTTTTTGAAATGTGAGCATTGCTGATAGAGGTCAACATTTGTTGTTCTGTCCATAATTCCTCTGGAGAAGGTACTGGTGAGCTGCTGCCTTAAACTTTTAGGTAGTAGAGGTGAGAGTTTGGAAGGTGCTGTTAAAGGAGGTTCTTTGACTGACTGAAAATGTGTAGTTGTTACAGTAATTCTTGTGAATTGTATGCTTCCAATTGTTCCGGTGTTGTGGGGGACACGCACTTGCCTTTGCTCTTTGAGCTGTTTATGTTTGGATCAAAGTTTTTTTTTGAGTATTTTCCCTGTCTTGATAATGCAATCAAATGGTTATGAACTGTTGATAAACAACCTAATAGGATGGCCTGACCACACTTGTAACTATATACGTAGTTGGCGTACTTCCCACTTGTGGCTTTTAACTTCATCGTTTTGTCTTCTCAATGTATGATTTTGTTTTAAAGTAGCAGCTGGGTGTCCCCCTGCATTGAGCTGGTAACGAGGTTATTGGCATTTGAATCATTGCTAAGTTGCGCTCTGGGGCTTTCTAGTTGGTATTGGCAGACTGTGGGGTGAAAAGGAAGGGGAACTGAGAATAATTCCCAAACGCAAAAGGATTTTGTTTAAGTGCATTTAGTTTACCTGTATCCTTTCACTAAATTTGAGATTTCAGGGATTTTGCTGACATCAGACTATCGGTTACTTTGTGTGTTGTTTGGGCTTGCCAGGAGCTGCCCCCAGTACTGCCTTCAAAGGATAAACTAGTCACTTCCTGCCATTGGATTCTTGCTTCGGGGACTTTTAGTTTAAAGTGTTGTTGGAGGAATTTCGTGAGTTAGCAACACACTAATTGAATTGAAGAGTTGGACCTGTTTTTCCCTTCATGTGAAGCCTAGGAGGGAGCCATCCCAGAAGTGTGCCAAATGCAAAGAGCAGGAGCAGATCAGTCAAAGGCACTGCTAACAGAATTGTCACTGGTGAATTGGGCCAGACTGAGCACTGCATAGGTACTCGATTGATTTATGTACTGATCATTGCTCACTGGCTTTCAACTGAGCAATGTTTCTAAGTTTCGAGAAAGCAATCCCGTCGTCTTGAAATTTAAGGATGAAACCATGAATAACTTAAGTTTTTGTTTAAACTTAAAATTAGTCGTTTGGCCTCACCCGTGGAATGTGCACAGTACCTAGAATATCAAATTCAAAATTGTCATTGATCTATTTTTAAGCAAAACATTTCATTTTAGTTTGTGTTTTGAGTTTTAATAGAAATAGGGGAGTGTAAGTTCTATATTTGTGGATTTGCTGATTCTCATTCGTACGTTTTAGTTGTATTTCAAAATGAAATATATTCAGGGACTTATACTGGAAATCAGACACTTCAGCTGTTGTCTAGTCATATATCTGCTTTATCATTAACGTAGTTACTGCATATCCTTATATTTGCGTGCATTTCCTGTTGTTCTCGTGTCACATTTTTGTCAATCTTCTTTTGTCCCATTATGTCCACAAAATTTGTCATCGTGTAATCCCATCCTGCTGTCAGTGGTCCTGAGGAAAATCCTGCTGCCCTCTATCTCAGTCCTCCACATGTACAACACGAAAAACTGCTAAGCTCCAACTGAATGAGTATCCCAAACTGCTGTGACCTTTTAGTGTCGAATCATAAATAACCTAAATTTAAAGTATGCAAAAATGACAGTGTGAAGTCTTAAAATGAGGAACTTGATTACCTCTGCAAACCCTGGTCTCATTATACCTCACCATTAAGACCAGATTACTTAAAAGTACTTTGTCTCTACTCACCTCGTGCAAAGTCATAGAACTGAAAATCATTTTGTTTTGTACAAGTATTATAGCTATTACATGCTTTTACATCTTTCCAAAATTCTAAAACTTTGCAAGTTGACCGTGTCCACTTGAACTATGAAAAGTGCCCAATAGTAAAATAATAAATTGGATTCTTGTTTGCAGAAAAAGAGACATGCCGTCAAAGATTTTTGTTTTTGTTGTCAGGACAGATGCAAGAATGTTTAATTTCAAAGGGAGCAACAGTTTAAACTGCAGGAGGAAAGGGTGCTGTCTGGTTGGCAAGTCAACTCTAGTTGAGGTGTTGCCATGGAGAATTCACCTGGGAACCATTGCCACCACCCGTCTGATTAATCCAAAAAATAAGAAAATGCTTCTATAGGTTACTTTTTCCCTGCAGAGGATGAGTCCTTGCTTGTCAATACATGTTACTTGTAACAAGTGCCAATGAGCCTGGTTACAAGCCTGGCTGATCATCTTAAATTGATTATCAGTGTGCATAGAACATAGAACAGCACAGCACAAGAACAGGCCCTTTGGCTCACCATGTTTGATCTGTAATTCTTGGCATATTTGAATTGATCAGCGAGTGCTGTTTAATTGCAGGTTCACATCCAACATTGGACATCATGATCAGAGTCTTGCAAGTACAGGGTGCCTTCGCAACTGTCAGTACTTTGCCAATTATGAACAAGCTAAAGCATGTGCTGGTTGATATGATTAGCGATTAGGCTTATATGGCCTTTGTACCTGGTATCACACTGGCACTGAAAGTGAATATACATCTGTCGTAATGAGTACAAGATGAAAAGCTTTGATCACATGTCTCTCTTTATTCAGTGTTATTTACATTCTGCATTAGACAACTAGGATGTTGTGGCAGGAAAGATTATTGTCAAGGTGACCTAAAAGTGAACTGAGCTTTGACAATGTTCTTGATGGTACTGGATGCAATTTGACCTCTGGGTAACAGACAAGAAGATCCTTTTTAATGATTCCACTGGCAAGTGTTAGTTTTCCTGTAGAATGATTGTATAAATGCAGAAATATTTAGACAACAGAGGCAAAATGGACACAAACCAAAAAGAGAATGATTAAGAAATGTCCAAGAGCATATTCAAGTAGACTTTTTCTTTTTTGGGATGCTTATTAAGGTGAGAACAGAAGTAACAAAGGCAGGGGTCTTGAGAAGAAGACCTCGAGTGGTAATAGGATGAGGACACCAGGACCTGAACAAGGCCCAGAAAAGGTTGCAAAGGCACAATGGGACAAGTCTATAAAGAACATGTTTTACATGAGTTGCATGAATAAGTAAATAGGGACTTTAAATTCAATGCACTGGAACTGACTGAGGACAGAGAAAGGGGTGATGGGAATCAAACTCGGTATGGCCAAGTAATAGAAAGCAGAACATTGGATGAGGTGGAAATACATGGGTTGCACTTGTGTGAGAAGCAATTTAAATCCAGAGGAAATGTTAGGATAGACTAGGTTTCTCTTGCAATAGGAATGAGGTCAAGAGAGGTGAATGATAATGTATAATGTATGAGATTTGATACTTGCCTCAGGATGGATCGGGACACTGTTTTACTCCATCTCAAAAATAGGGAAGAAGGAATGAAACATGTAACGTGTATGAAGCTATTGATGGGAAATGACTAATGCTTAGAAACTACAATACAGAAAAAAAGGTCATTCGAGCCAAGCAGTCTGTCGGTGCTTACCCTCTATATGAGCAAGTAGCCTTAATTAAAATCAGCATCAGCTCAAGACACTTCAATTTTTTTTTTGTTTGTTTTTGTTCATTCAACTACCAATGCTAATCATGAATGTTGGCATCGTATCTGCCTCTACGACTAATCCAGGAAATAAATTACATAGTTTCCTGACTCTATCCAGGAAACTTTCTCCTGCACACTTACAGGTTTCCCTTATGTGGCTTTGGTCTCTCTAAAGTTTGAATGGAGGAATATCTGACTCATCCACAATTTGATGTCAAGTAGTTCGATACAGATTTGTTGGGGGGTGGCTATGGAGAGGTTAACTTGTTAATAGTTCAATATTGGCTATCTGTCTGGCTTATGTAGTTAGGATGCAACGTGTTAAGTAGATAAAAAGGGAGCACTAAGAACAAGCCATGATGAGCACTGCATGTGACAGCCTGGGGTGGAACAAGGAACTGTATCTAGAGATACGCTGGCCAAATTGTAACAGTTAGGAATGGGAGCACATGACAGTGATTCTACCGAGTTGGATCATGGAAGTGAGGGAGAATAGAAGTGAATTGTTTTGAACTGAGATTGCAGTAGTGATAACTCCATGCAAATCACAACCTCAAAAATAATCTTTTGGTGGCTCTGAACAAGTCAGATTGGAGCTGAGAGTTGGGTATGGCTAAAGCAACAAAATTTATACCAATTCATTGCAAAGCTGAGAATTATGAGGACTGTGGAGAGGAAAGGAAGGTTTAAGTTAGGGTGCTGATTGCAGAGAAAGGAGGTGGGAGCCAATATTTTTGAGTCCAATGAAGTGCAGTTAAGGTGGATTGGCCGTGTCCATAATGTTCAGGGATGTGTATGTTAGGTGGATTATCCATGGGAAATGCAAGGTTACAGGGGTAGGGTAGGGGACCGGGCCTGGGTGGGATGCTCTTCAGAGGGATGGTATGGACCCAATGGGCCAAATAGAATCCCTACAGTGTGAAACCAGTCTATGATTCTGAGTAGAATGCGTTGTGGTGATGGATTTTTTATGAAGAAGTATGTCACCTTTGTCAGGGGCCCCATTAAAATTTCTGTGAGCATTGTGGCAAGGAAAGATAATAGGGTGGGGTGGAGGTAGCAGGAAATGGGTAATAGGGATGAACCTGGTGATAGATAGAGAGGAAAGCTGCACTGGTTAAGATTTTCTGATAGCTGAGAGAAGGAGACATAAATCACTAAAATCTTGACATTTTAGTAACTTACTTGTATTACTGGAGTTTGAGGAGAAGAATGACATAGTTTGATAGATCAGACTATCATTTATAACTAACCGGGGTTCTTGTGTTCTTTTGTTTCCCTCAATAAGTGGAAATAATGGAGACTGGTCCAGCACCTTCTGAGGTCTATGAGCGCTCCTGCGGCAGAAGAACACAACAAGGTGACATTGAGGCAGTTGAAGCTCTCATGTCAATGAGCTGCAGCTGGAAATCCGATTCCAAATGTTATACTGAGATGAGACCGCTGACCCCAGCATCTGATGTATCTGAGGAAGCTGAAGATAGTTTACTGCCCAGTTCTAGAGATTTCCACACATTTCCTCTGTTTGTGAGTATCTATCAAAAGTGTTTATAACATTGAGGATTTGGCAACGAAGGCAACTTTTAACTGGAGACAGTGAAGAATGGCTTTCACCAATGCCTCACTGAGTAGATACAGAATGTGATGCAGTGAGCACTCAAACCCAGAGAAGACCTAGGTGAGCTTCATCTGTGGTGCTTTGTCTGATCTTGACCAAGACTATAGCAGGTTTGGATTAAAACTGTCCTCCATGCCCCAACGCTGTGGCTGTGGGTCATCAACCAACTTATGCCCTGAACTCTGCTGCAAGTGGGTACAACAGGATCAGGCCTGACCATGGTGTCTTTGCAGTTCAGTAGGACCATTTAAGCCAGTGGGTGGAAGTTGCTACATGGCAAAGGTGTCAGAAGGCAGCTTGCTCCTGCAGAACTGTACACCAGCAATGGCCAGCATGCCCTTTGGCAAAGGACAAAGACAAAGCAAGGGCCTGAAAGACTAGCAATCAATGAAAGAGAGTTTTGAGGAAGTTTCACTACCAATGATATGTTGTTAGGTACAGTCACTGTGTATGGAAACACAAATATTATGCACAGCAAGCTCCCACAAAGATCATCCAATGAAATGTTAATATTTGTAATATTGGTTGAGACATGCATATTGGATGTGAGACCAGGACATGGCGCTGGCTCTTCCTTGAATAGCACCATGGATCTTTAATGTCCATCTGTACAAATGGGCCATGCTACTTGTTTAAAATCTTGTCTGAAAAGTGGCATTGCTGGCCATGTAGAATTTGTTCAGTACTGCATTGAAAGCTGTTGTTCTACTTTTAAATATCTGTTTTATCCTTCACAGCAGTTTTTCAATTTGTTTTAAAGAATGAGTGCATCCTAACACTTTTTTTCTCTCTTTCCTGTTCTAGTGTCTAACTCCACCATACAGTCCACCTAACTTTGAGGCACCTCAAATAGTTCATCCTGCAATGCCAGTCCCTTCCACTGTACTGCCTAAAGTGGAACTCCTTTTATCCAGGCAAACCACCAGGGTCACTGAAGCAGCATTGCCAATGATCTCGCACAGTGCAAAAACAGTAGCTGTATCTACAAAACAACGGTCCCAAGCTACAAGTGTGATTCGTCACACTGCCGATGTTTTAGCCTGTACAAATCATTCTTGCCCAGTTAGGGTGACCCAGAATTCTGCTGATCAAGAATCAAAATATGGGACATCTCCAGTGGGCAGAGTTGAAGAGAAAAGATTGGAAAGTAATAGCAGTGGATTGAACAATTGTGCATCACGTGAACTAAGTTCTTCAGTGCCACCATTCAGTGAAACCAATAGAGGGCTAACAGTGAAGAAAAATGAAAGCAAATATTTAACACAGACTGTGAATTGCACCCCACTGTTGGGGCAAGCTCTATTTTCGAGTTCCCAGTCTCCTGTCATAACTCAGAATCAGCAAGCTTCAACATTGATGTCTTCATCAATTTCTTCCAGTATGCCATCAATGCCCATCATCTGCCAAGTGCTGCCTGTCAGTACACAAAATCCTGCCACAAAGCACCCAACTGTGAGCCCACCTGTTGTCTTCATGGGAGCACCAGTTTCCAAAGGTGCCCTAATGTTTGTGGTACCACGGCCTACTGTCAAGTATACAAAACCACTGGTCAGTAGCCTGAATGGCACCAAGCTTTCTCCTATTGCACCAGCCCCTGGCATCATGCCACCCGTCCAGACAGTTGTTGCTCAGGTTGATGTTTCTCGACACCGGAGTCACATCTGTGATCACCCAGGCTGTGGAAAAACCTACTTCAAAAGCTCTCATCTGAAGGCACACATGAGGACACACACAGGTACAGTATTTGTGCATTGGGACTCCTTGGCGTTAGATTTTCTTACCCTGAAGGTTAAGTTCAGATTTATTGAGTTTCCAAGATTCTGCTGGTATAATGTAGTCACAGAGAAAGGCATAACAGCATGCAGCTTATTGTTCTAATTCACACACCAATTATAATTGAGGAAGCTTTGTACCTATTCTGTGGTAGCTGGGAGGAATGGGACATGATTGCTGCACCTTTTGCAGTTTTGTCAGTGCATTTGGAGCAAGTGTGTTGATTTCTGTTTAGTTTGACTGCTTCTTATTGATATCCCGCAACAATTGTGGGTTGCACCAAACTAGATCTGAAATGACAATACACAATCTCATTGGCATCTGTATTTGAAGGGAACATTTTGATTTGTTTGGGACATAAATATCACAAAATTATTTTTTGAATAAAATATCCACACTTGATTAACACAAGTCGTGCATATCTGTGTTACCTTCCAAAAAAACACTAAGGGATTTATGGCTCTGTCCCATTACAGGTGAAAAACCCTTCAGTTGTAATTGGGAAGACTGTGACAGGAGGTTCGCTCGCTCCGATGAGTTATCGCGACATCGCAGGACCCACACAGGTGAGAAGAAGTTTGTGTGCCCAATGTGTGAGCGTCGCTTTATGAGGAGTGATCACCTGACTAAACACGCCCGCCGACATCTTTCTGCTAAGAAGCTCCCAAACTGGAAGATGGAAGTGAGCCAACTGAGTGACGGTGCCTCACCAGTCCCTGCTCCTGAAACTGTGCAGCCTCACTGACTACATTATGCTGACAACATCAAAAAAAACACTTCCTTCATTGGAAAAGTAATTCACTTCTGCAAGATGTTTAAGGGAACACAAGAATGGCAAGATTATATGTACTATGAATGATTTCTGTATGACCATGAGCAGAATGTGCTGAACTGAGGTCACAGCCATACAGGGAACTAGCATGGACAGTATGTTACACAATCAGGAACCAGTGACTTGCTGCACCCAGAGAAAACAGTGTTTGTTTTAGCTTGTGTGACAGCACAGCTGAGAGAATTGGGAAGTATAGAGAGGGTTCTCTGTTTACAAGCCTATCAACTGGGGTGAGATGTCAAAGAGCTGTTCCTTTCTCTTGCTGTGCGTGATTGCAAGGAGCAGTTAGCTGCTTGTCAGCTCATTGGCACCTCAAACAAGCTTCAGTCCCAGTGAGCAGAGTATGCGAGTGGACAGTAGCATCAACTGGTTACTGTATCAGTGTGATAACATGCCCACAATTGGAGGGGATAAGGACCAGTAAAGAGCTAGTATGTTACATACAGCACTGATCACGATCCATGTTGGTGAGAGGAAGAAATGATAGGAACTGTGGTGTCTGGTAGAAAGCAGCAGAGACCAGCAAGAATGAGCACAATGATATTGTAGTTACCTCTGCCACTGATTTTGCAGTAGAACTATGTCTCCAGGATGAGCACCGACATGGCAGGATCACATCAGCCACCTGTTATATGCCCAGTCCATTGTTTGGGAGGCAGGTATATTGGATGGGACCCATAACAGGCTGAAGCAATGTTACCAGCTTTCTGCACATGCCCCAATAAATTTCAGCCCCAATTCCTCTGATTTTGGAAATGGTGAGATGGAGCATAAGGATTTCTCAGCAGATGTATGCATTTATAAGGCTTATGAAGGTGAATACTGTTATTTTTGTGCTTATTTTCTTTTTGAATGGGACTGCTAAATTTACAAAAACAGGAAGTTAAATTTTTGCAACTCTCCCTCTTTCAGAGCAAAGGTGGAAGTTTGTCATAGGATCTCTTCACAAACTGGGGTGAGGCTATTGCTAGACTTTAAAGTAAATCTTACCACTGTACGCCTTTAGAATTTTGTACATACTTGTGGTATTATTTATTTCAAACCATCAATAGTAACTACTTAGGAATTTTGTTACTGAACCAATACATGGAGGAATTGCACATTACCTCCTCTGTTCACAGTTTGCATACTACGATGCAAATGTCTATATATGTGCATCAGTATTTTCCTGTATTCTGCATTACAGAATTTAATTGTATGTCTTTTTTCTCCATTTACAGTGGCAGTGTCTTGAATGGAATGTCCCCTCTGTGAGGACAACATCTCATTCAGTTAACTGTACAATCCTTTTTATCGAGCAAAGTTAAGAACCTGAAAGCTTAATTGTTGCTCGCTTTAAGAGTATTTACTTAATGGTGCACCTTTTCTATGATTTGACTACAAGAATTTTTCTTTCATAAACTTTGTTTACATACTTGTTAAATACTCGGCAATAAATTTTCTATTGCACATGAGAAATATAGTTTTTGTCTCCAATTTACTGAACGTTTTATTAATGAAAAGGGTTAGTACTGCATCTGTATCCATAACACATGATGGTGTATTCAGCAGCACTGGCCCATCTAGACCGATCTGTTGCCAATGGTGAACTTGTTTTTTTCCAGACAGTATAACTCCAGTTTGGAAATGCCCCTTTCGTTGTTTTTGTTGCAATTAGTGGATTCCCCCAGTGCATTATACAAGAAGGATCAGGATCAGCGGCAGTTCTGGGCTGAACAGGGCTGGAGAAAGAGATGAATTTTGAGTAAAGTAGTTGGGACGTCATGTTGCAGTTGTACAGGTTGTTAGTGAGGTCTCTTCTAGAGTACTAATTAATAACTTGTTGCCCCGTTACAGGAAGGATATTCTTAAACTGGTGAGGGTTCAGAAAAGATTTACCAGGGTGTTGCTAAGATTAAAGGGTTCGAGATATAAAAATGGACTCAAAGGGCTGTGACCTTTTTCACTGGAGCGTGGGAAGTTGAGGGGAGATCTTATTGAGGTTTATAAAATCATGAGGGTTATAGATAGGGAAAAGACCCTTGTCATTCACCTTTATAGTGGGGGAGTTCAAAACCAGGGGGGCATATTTTTAAAGTGAGAGGAGAAAAATTTAAAAAAACGTGTGGGGTAACCTTTTTTACACAAAGAGTAGTTTTTGTGTGGAGTGAACTGCCAGAAGATTGGTGGATGCAGGTAGAATTACAATGTTTAAAAGACATTTGGATAAGTACATGAATTGAAAAAGTTTGGAGGGATATGGGCCAAGCACAGGCAAATGGGACTAGTTTAGTTTGGGAACCTGGTCAGTGTGGACTGGTTGAACAAAGGGTCTATTTCCATGCTGTATGGTTATATGAAGGAGCCCAAGGGAGAAGAGCAATGTCTGTCAAAATGTATTTATTTTTCCTTGCTTTGCAGAGAGAAGGATATTCAGAACACAGCACCAGAAATGCAGCTCAGTTATGCTTTCGAATTCATTCACAGGATGTGAGAATTGTTGGTTGGACCAGGCTGTGTTGTCCATTTTTCATTACCCTTAAGAAGGTGGTAGTGAGCTGCCTCCTTGAACAGCTGTAGTCCATGTGCTGCAGGCAGACCCACAATGCCAGTGGAGGGGGTTCAGGATTTTCATCCAGTGACAGTGAAGTAATACCAATACACCATTCCTTCCACAGAATACTGTACTGCCCATCATATCAACACAAATTTTATATCTGCAGATTGGCATGGTGAAAGGGAAATGGTATGTTGGAACTTGTTGTTACATTTTTCCCTCTTTTTTTAAAATAAAGGGGCTTATTCCATTGCTCACATTGGGGCTGTTAAAGTGTGTTTAGGTGAAGTTTGTGTTTTGAGGAATTCTCACAATCAATATGTTACAGACAAAAAAGATAGTGGGCATGATCAAGATGCAGTGAGATCAGGACTCTTTTTAGATGCTGGAATTGTTGGAAGGCATGGTTATTTTAAAACCATGATTGAGAAGAATTTGTAATTGTCTAATAACTGATGTGCAAGTTTTTCCTGTGATTGGCAAGTTGCCAATCATAATGGAAGGTTCAGACCTACGGTGTCGGTAGAAATGTGAGATGTACCTGTGCTCAGTGAAAAGAGTTCAGAGCAACAATTACCGTCAGGATGGCATAGTTCCATTGGAAGATGAATTATGAAGTGGGACATAGCTGGGTGAGGGAACGAAAATTGGAATGTTAATTGGGGTGTTAATGAGGAACAGTTTGTTGCCAATTTTTGATGAGAGAGTGGAGGCATTCACTCTGTACGTGACAATTGTATTTGATGAATCACCTCATGTTAAAGAATTAACATGTTTGTACGAGCAACAGCTATGGGATGTTGTAGCTACTTGTCACTTTAGTGTATACAGATGATGCTTTTTTCACAGTAAAACTTTTAATGAAGTCCAAACAATGTCAATATTCAAACCTTTTTTTTCTTTTCTATTCTCTCTCTGCTAACCCTCGTTTCATTTGTTCTTTCACCTCTCCCTCATATTTCATTTCTTTTTCTGTTCCTTACTTGACATCGAGCTCATTAACGTGGAGTACCTCGCATCTTCTCCTCAATCCCACGCTCTGGTGAAGGATAGACGCAGCTTTTTGCCCAGATGCTCAGTTCTCATTATCAACTTGCACTTCCAGCAACACCCCGTGCAAAACAAAAAATGTTTTAAGAAGTCTGTCAAGATTGCTACTAGAGAATTCCGCTCTGCTGAGGGATTGACAAAGAATGGGACAGTTCATTTTTGGAAGCACTTGTGTCGTCAGTGCATTGCACTATATGCTGCTGCAGTTTGACAACTACATTCGGTAAAATACTGAAATTTTGCTTCCATAAGTAAATTAAGTGCAATGGGAGGAATATCAAATTACGCATCATGTGGAGTACTGAATCATGGGGTTTTTCAGAGCCTCACACATGTGGCTATTCTTCACAGCCGACTCTATGTTGATGGATTACTCAAGTGTGCAGTCCATTTTGAGCAAGCCCCACCTTATCTTGGCATGTACAGTGAGTCTTCATAGGGTTAGGCACAGGGACTTATCCATGGGGCCCTATCTGTACCATTTTATACTGGGGAAAATGCCGATAAGGCAGATAGGCGGGGCAGGCACCCCCAATGGGTAAGTTCTGTGCCAGGATTGCTTCAAGGCAAGAATAACAGCAGCTCTTTTCTCTGCTCCGTCAGCACAACCCTTCCTGAGATCAGCTAAATCAGCACAAGCCAGACATTGCCCTGTTGACCTAGCAGGACTGGACTGGGATAGACATCCAAAGTGTTTCTGAATATCTTCAAAGTGGATGTTGTTCATTACGGCTGTTTATTTGCTGATATGTTTTCTAGGTCACTGGTGCCACCAAGTGGTCAAATACATGGGCAGCAAGTTCAAATTACTCAAGTCAGCTTTTTATTTAAAAATGGGGGAATTCAAAGTTTATTTCTAGACCTACAGGATGTAGAATCCAAGAGACAATGCTAAGTTGATATAAACCCTGGGTCCAGGTACTAAATACAATACAAAGCTCCACGTTAAAGTAAGGTGATTGAGGCTATTTGGTACAATGCAGCATACTTTCACACGATGCAGCCTAGTTGAGGAAATGCAAAGGAAAGCTGAAAAAACTTGCACTTTTCTTGCCAGAACAACACAGACCAGACCAGACCAAGGTGTGACAGAGGAAGTCTAGTTTGTGATTCAATTAGCACAAAGTTTTTGAGGAATTTGAAACACCAGTGAGTTGTGCTTGAGAGATTTTTTTTCCCAGTTTGAGATCCAACGCACCCAATTCAAGCCACGTTCAACTCAACAACCGTGTCCCCAGTGTGAAATTGCAGATCCTCATTCAGGCTCTCAAATTGTTGTGTATGGACAATAAGGCCCAAAGCAACCTTGCGATGAAGTTACAGAACTGCACAGCACTGAATATAAATACTATGGAGTGGGTGGAGTTAGAACACTCTTTCAGAATACTTGACCTGACTGCCCAGAAGTTTCTGCTGTCTGGAAGAAATACAGGGAGCACACTGAATTGAACACACGAAGAAAATAGATTAGTCTTTACCTCCTGTAACTATAAGTCAGAGCCTGATTACAATGTATAGCAGTATTTTGTATTAAAGTGTAATAAATAACATTACTTTGAAGTCTAAGCCAGAAGATAGCCCTTGGCTTCACCTTGTCCTGGAACAGTCTGTCTTGAGCCCAAACCCATAGTGTGGCATCGAACCACATGATAATTGACAAATTGAGCTCATTTTGTCAGCTGCATGGACATCAATTAAAAATATGAGAAATAGGAGCTGGTATCAGGAGGGCACAATGGCATAGTGGTAATTTCATTAGACTATTAGAGGCCCTGGTTAATACTCTGTTCAGATGGTGTTGAACAGACAAAGTACTTTTCCCAGGGTAGGGGATTCCAAAACTAGAGGGCATAAGGTTAAGGTGAGAGGGGAAAGCTTTAAAAGGAACCCAAGGGGCAACTTTTTTATGCAGACGGTGGTGCGTGTATGGAATGAACTGCCAGAGGAAGTGGTGGAGGTTGGTATAATTAGAACATTTAAGAGGCATCTGGATGGGTATATGGAATAGAAAGGGTTTAGAGGGATATGGACCAAATGCTGGCAAATGGAACTGGATTAATTGAGGATATCTGGTCAGCATAGACAAGTTGGGCTGAAGGGTCTGTTTCCATGCTGTACATCTCTATGACTCGACGACCACAGCAGCTGGATCAATGAATTGAAAAAAGTAAGTAATAAATCTGGAGTTGAAAGCTAGTCACAGCAATAGTCAGTATGAAACTATCTTCAATATATCTGTGTGCTCACGTTTGCTTATTTTAACTTGTTACTTTCTTTAATGGGATATGAGCTTCACCACGGAAGCCAGCATTTATAGCCGATCATCAATTGCAGCTGAACAGAATTTCTTACTAGACCATTTCAGAAGAGAATTCAATGTCAACAGCATTATTGTGGAACAAAAACAGGAGTAACTGGAAAAGGTCAGTAGGTCTGGCAGCAGCTGTGAAGAAATTTTGTTCCTGATTTACAGCATCTGGAGTTTTTTCGGTTTTTGTTTAGCATTGCTGTGGAGCTGGAGTCACATGTTGGCTAACCAAGAATGGCAGATTTCTTTCCCTAGGTTTTAACTGCGACCAGTTTTTAATTCCAAATTCTTAATGTAATTTTCAATGGTCCTGGTGCGATTGGAACCTATGTCCTCCGAGCACTAGCTCTGATTGTCCACGTATATTAGTCTGGGTTTCTGGATTGCTAATCTTGCAACATTAAAACCAAATCAGTGCATCCCTCTAGATACTGATGCAACCATTTCTGTTATTTTGAATTCACGTTCCTTTATAAATTGAGGGTGAGCTGGTGGGAGTGGAGACTGGAAAAATGATAGTAAAAACTGGAGGCTGTCTTTTCTGATGAAAGTGCAGATAA